GTGATGTAAAACTAAGGCAAGGTATTCCGAGATAAGAGATAAATTTCACGTTCGGTAAACCATTCCCGTAGACATTCGCTTCAGAAAATATTGATGTTTTACATGACCTGATTAGGTCAAAGAATCGAGTTCAAGCGTAAAGGCTGATTTAAAAATGTGAGAGACATCTTCATCGGTTGTTGCTGCGGGTGACAGCATCCAAAGTTGCTTTTATACAAAATCAGACAGCAGATTGAAAGAAATATATGGCTTTGTATCACTTTTACTCAAAATAACCAGAGATAAGCTAAATGAAACAAAATAACTCAGACTCTGTGTCGAATGTGATGTGGCAATTGAGACATACGTATCGAAAACTTTTCGTCTTCCATTAAAACAATTTTGAGTATATGTATACGTAGTTGCTATACTCGATCATTATTTGTGATTACATTATTGGATTATTCTATTGAACAAAGCAGTTTTTGGTAATTATCCAGAATTGGGGCTCCAGTTCAAAATCACTCCAAAAATTTTTTCATCGATTTCCAGAATGACTGGAAATCATAATAGAATTAGATATTTGAAGGTGGGGGAGACAGACAAAAAATTTTTTTGAATGATAATTTTTCAAAATACAAATCACAGTTGTAAACTGAAGGTACAGGAAGAGATGGGTGAGATCAGAAGTGGGAAGTTATACAAGCTTTTAAACTCCTTATCCCATCTTAGCTCGAAACTGTTAGAACCATTGCTTCGAGTGGTAGAAATTCACTTTTGTGAACAATTGTTTAATCACTTTCTTTGTGTTAAAATTTGTTTGAAAAATTAAATCTAAAGGAATTGTTTGTAAATAGGTATGCAACACATCGTACACTTCAGCATTAGAAATTGCTGATAGTAACTATACGTAATACTACTTTGGCTTTTGCTGACAGCACTCATAATTTCTTTTATATATGATATTAAAAGAAGAAATAGTTATACGTACACCATATACCCTATGATGTATGCTGTAATAAAAAAAATGTGTCTCAGCCGCCTCAAATATAATCATTGAAACCTCCGAAATATCCAGAAATCGATGAAAAACTTTTTGGAGCGCTTTTAGTCTGCAGTCCCAAATCTAGGAATTGTATGAAATTCCGATATCGTACTAGGAAATGTTTAAAACTAATGCTTTCTGTGAATAAAATACTCTAACATATTAGAAGGCAGGGGCATTAATAAAACTCCAATATGTCATAAATCTGCCTAACCATATAAGGAAATTTTGAAAAGTTATCATTCAAAAAATTTTTTTTATGTATGGTCATAAAAAACTGTCTCCCCTACCTTCTAATATCTAATTCTATTATGTAGAATGGCCGGAAATCGATGAAAAAATCTTTGGAGCGATTTTGGTCTGGAGCCCCAATTCTGGGCAATTACCCAGTTTTTTTTTGTAGTAAAGCTTCGTTAATCTCAACTTATTTAACAAACTAGTAAATCGCCTTTCTTCTCTTTCATATACCTAATTAAAAAGGCACTTTGGGGTTTATTTTGTCGGTGATTGTAAACAATAACAAACAAAAGGTGTTTTCAGGGTAAAAAATATTGAAAACCGAAAACTGTGGTGGTACATAAAAACGAATATTTTCATAAACAACACGATCTCTAAAAATTTAACTCTCACCCCTCTAACAGAAAAGCCAATTTTAAATTTGCTTCATATTGTAAAGAAACAATGTAGAGCGTGTCTTTAATTATTAAATTTTTCACATAAATTGCGTGTTTTTCTCATCATACAAATCAAGAATTCGCAGAACAATTCGAGAGGAATTTTTAATGTACGCAATTAACGCAAGGGGTAGACCTTTAGGGTGGAATAAACCAGTTGAAGCAAATTATCAGTGTCTAAAATTTGATAAGCATTTAAGAGGAATTTGTATAGTTCATTTAGTCGTCTTTATATTCTTCATCACAGATAGACGTAGGTACTTATGGTAAGCGTGAAGTTAAAACTTTTTATGGCAGTGATATAGTTACCAAACAAATTAATAACGTTTTTGAGTCCCCAGCTATTACAAACTTTTTAGATTGGGTATTTTTAAACATATTTGTGGAATTTGTTCCATTTAGTACAGTTCAATTTTCCTAAAAATGTATTATTAGTTGCACTATCGGCGTTTTATATTTTCCCTTTCCGAGAAACTCCTAAAGCTTGAAGACTTTGAAAGTTTGGAAAGCACTGCTACTGCTGGCAAAGAATTATAAATGTTCAACATCATTTTCTCGAATCAAAAAGCTTCGATTACTCCAAAAAACATTTGACTAATTGAGTCAACATCGTCACGTTGAAAGTGATGACTTTAAAAAGTTCGTCTAATAATGAAAATTTCTCTTTGAGTTCTGTNGATATAATTTGTTCATGATACCAGCCACAATTTCAAGTCAAAGGAGAATGACAAAATTCGTTAAAGAAATTTTTGATCTCATTTTACTTAAATTGTCAGTGCAGGGTGACTGTTTCTGACCATTCCATTCGAAAGCAAAAAAGTTTTTCTCATTAATGAAATTAATTAAAAGTTACGTACGGAATACTGCGAGTCAAGAAAGATTTGACCCTCTAATTATATATAATTTCGACTGAAAATAATGAAGCCAATAAAACTGATAGGTATTCGAAATTTAATGACATTAAAATCAAACGACTGCAAGTTACGAACAAATTTATTTCTGTTTCCTATAAATTTTGCAGAGTGGCCGATTTTATGTATCTAGGAAGTCGGATAAGTTAGGAGTAGTAGGTCGAATCGCCTTCAATAAATAAGTCAGTTCTATGCTCACGAACGGTTAATTTAGAAATTTGAAAAAGATTGTTAAAGGTGTAAGTTTGGAACGCGGCGCTGTACGAGTGCGAAACATGGACAGTGAGCGCGGCGGAAAAGAAAACGTTAGAAGCGTTCGAAATGTGGTGTTATAGGCGGATGATGAGGATATCGTTGATAAAGAAGATTAGAAATGAAGAGGTAGTAGAAAGAATAGGAGAACAGAGGACTCTATGGAAGTTAATAACAAATAGGCGAGATAGGTTGGTAGGACACATTCTTAGGCATGAAGGTCTAGTCAGAGACGTATTAGAGGTAGAAACGGGAGTTAGGAGGGGTAGATGTAGACCTAGATTAGATTACCGTTCGCAGATAGTTAAGGATATGGGATGTTCTAGTTCTTGGGAAATGAGAAGATTAACTCAAGATAAGAAAGAGTGGAGGTGCGTGTCCAACCAGTCCTAGGACTGACGACCTTATGATGATGATTTAATTTTGTTAGTAAAATTCCTGGAGGATGCTTTTTCTTTAGAATCCAAATTTTTTGGACGTAATTACACCGCTGAATTAATTAAAAAGTTAAAAAGCAGACTCACCCCTAATTACCACAAAAACTTTTTGAGAGTACACGTGTTTCGTTGGACTGGACAGTCTCGCGTTGATAATGCCCTCGTATGAAGTGGGCGAAACACGTGTCCGCTCAAAAAGTTTTTGCGGTAATTAGGGGTGAGTCTTCTTTTTAATATTTTAATTAATTATTATTTATCGCAGTCTCCTTTTTCTGCCTTACACCACTGAACATTATTAAAGACGTAATCAATGTATTATTCTCATACACCTTATAAAGTAACAGTGTATTTTTCAACGTTATCTTCTGTTTCAAGCAAAACCATTTAATTATTTGATAAACTGCATCATTTTGTGTTACGCTTGGAAATCATTTATAAGTATACGAGGAAAAATGCATCCGTTTTGCGATACAAAATATTCGCGAACTCGGCGATATTTTTATAACGAACGAGGTTCATTCAGTGTCAGTTTAGAGCTGAAATGAGTTAGTACTTGAATTACTACCATCACCCCCAGTGAACCTTATGAAAACGCTTCATTTTATGAAGCAAACACGTCTCGTGTATGCGTTTGTGTGCACACATTGAAAAACACGTCAACACAAAAGCGAGGACAGAAAGAGCAAAAGCACAAGGCTCTTTTGCTAGCCATGACATCCCTGACAACTACGAAGTACGTACATAAACTCAACAAAACTCATTGCAAAAAAATAATGAGATTTGAAAATAATAGCAATCAACAACAGCATCAAGCGTTCAAAAACTCGTGGCAGAACAAGTGACAGTCACAGGGTCGTTTGTTGTGATGTCATGCTTTTAAGGGAATAAATTATTCGAGTAAAATATGCATATATATATACACAAACAGAGGAAGAACACGCATAATTATGTAACTTTTTAGGAAAAAATCCCTAATTAACCTCGCGTTCTGGTGAGGATTCCCTTTGTGCTTGTCGCTTAATTCTCAAAGCTTCTCTTTTAAAACCTACACTGAAAACAAAGGAAATTGTTATAGGCAAATACCCTTTAATAGTAGAGGAACGCTTTCTAAGCATTCAAAGAATGTAATGCTCTTGATAATGTAACAGTTTGAATCTCTGACTATGTATGTTCCTCAATTCGTTTTAAAATGAACTACTCGTTTGTTCTATCTATGTAAGATATATCAGCTACTTCATCTATATTCTAATCATATAGATTTAGGTAGGTTTAAGATAAATTTGCACCATCTGATGGAACCAGTATGTAGCAAAATATTAGTTTAATTTTTACATATACATAATATAAAATTAGTTTCACGCTAGAGAACACTTTTATACAAACAAAAAAATTGTAATGATGGATTTTAATTACACCTACGGTATTAGACGATTAATCAATTTTACCAATCAAATGTTTGATACTTAATGAAGTATTTTGTTTCTAACAAACCACCCTCTACCTAATTTTATCTATGTATTTTGTTGATACAAGATTATATTTAAATGGTTCGTAAGATATTGCTTCTTTGTCAAAAATCGCTTTGTACCAAACTGACCATCAAAATGGTTTGTGGATTTTAATACATATTACAATCAAATGACCCAATAAATTAGTATTTATAAATATGCGTTTAATCAACAAAATATAAAAATTTACTTACATTTACAATAAGACTGTCGTGATACCGAAGTAACTCTATCCTGGGTGTCACATTCTGTAAATACTTGCACTTGCACTTAGCACAATTTCACCAAGTACACTAATTACAGTCCGGCAACAACAAAAGAGTCAAACCGAATAATAAGAAAACACTCGTTGTTCTAACTCTTTCCACATTCTGAATAACAATTTCAATCAGATAAGCTGTTGCTTTATCATTTCCAAGACCTTGATGACACACAGCAAAAAACGTTCTTCTTTCTGCTGTTATGATAAAAATAAACAGGTTTATTTGATGGCAATGAAAGGAAAGAATAATAATGCTCCAAATTTTTTGAATTATTTAAAAGGATTAATGGGCATTAAGTCATCTTTACATAAAGACAGTAGGTAAATTCATGGTACATACAAAAATAGCAAACAATACAGTGCATTGTTTAATAATGGATAATTGTTTCATTATTTATTATTAATAGTCTTTTAATACATAAAAACAAAGAGCATTTTTTAAATTTTCCATTACTTATATCAATTTTTTTCTGCTCATCTTGTACTCCGATCCAGGACCTTCTGAGCGGGTAAACTGTGGAAATAACGATGTACATTAAAATCGAGTGTGTCTCTAACAATTCCCTATTATGTTTAGGATCACTACTTATTCGCCTTTTTATAAATAAATAACAAATTTTGATAGAAATAATAAGATCCATAAAAGTCATCTTAACATTAAGATTATCATGAAAACCATAATACGATTTAATTGAGTAAATGCCAAAATATCTGGTTGTCTCGTCATATTTATTCATTAATAAATTCAGATAGAAATGCTTTACACAACGAAAGATTGAAATGCTACAAAAACAATTTTCCGCGCAACGGAAAACTAAAAGTTTAAGATAGTATTGCATCTTATAAAGTCACATATTTTGCCCTAAATGACACATTAAAATGGTCAAAAAATAATTATACAAGGAAGAGGAATTGTACTCAAAAAATTTTGATTTTATTTGTTATGTTGCGTATCATTTAACAGAGCTTGTAATGAAGAACAAGGGGTGACGATCTGAGATCAATTAATCGATTAATCAATCCTTTAGGTCATGAAAATAGATTTTTCATCGGTATTAAGTAATTAACTCCTCACTTAAAACATAGATCTTTTTCGTGAAAAATCGCCCTCCCTATGAGATAACAAAAACATTTTATTCGTAATTTTAAATAGCATAATATATTCTTCCAAATTTCTAAACGAAAATTTAGACTTTCTTTTGAGCAAAAAAATAAAAGACGTAGATGCTTTTGTGTAAATAATTTATTAAATTGCAACGCGTGAAGTCTGACAAAGTTTTGGGCTATTTTTTATCCTTTTAATTTAGAGATAAGGGTCTTTTCGTGGAAAAAGGAGATGCTGGAGATACTCGTATCTGTAACTTTAGGCCACTTTAACTGACTACTTTATTTTCTTACCTGCCCGAAGGACTATTATTTTTGTGACTGGACTTATCCCAACACGTTTCGTTTCTACCTTCTGACTGGTAAAAAATGGCCACTTGTAAATCTTTGTTTTAATGTGACACTGTTTTAAGTAGCACAATTTATATCGTTTTGTACGTGCACTTCTAAATTCACCCCGTACCGAAACCCTAATTTGTTTTCCCTAAAACCAATTTTTACGACCATTCTAAATGGGATGACCGGCTATAACTGATGATTGGGAAGAAAAAGGATGACCATGTACCTTTTTCTGTTTTTATTTACTACTTTGAAGGTAAAGGGGTGGGTTTTCAGGGAACTACTGTAAGAAACGTAAACGTAAATTGGGTTACATTATACTTTTGTAACAGTTGATTAGGTAGATACTTTTCTAAATTCAACAGAAGACTTTTTATAAAAAAATATTTTCTCGGAGCCCCCATTATAAAACCTATACAAGTGGGTGCAGGTCAGATATTTGAAATATAGTGTTTAGGGACTGTTTGGAAGGAAAGAGCATAAAGCGAAAATTGGCTCAAGATAGGAAGAGGTGAAGGTGCGAGTTGATTCTGGGACCTTTTTGGCTTGGACTGTAATTAATAAATTCAAAAAATTGAACATCATAATTTGGGAGATAATTCTTGCAGTGAATGGGGCAATCAGACGTAAAAAGAAATCTAGCCTCCATAAACATAAAATTAGGGTCCATGTTTTGAGATTCGTTTATTATCACTTCTTTAATTTATTTTCAACTAGTACCGTAGAAAATGGTATTGAACTAAAGTTACGATCTTCTAGTGTGCATAATATTTTCTTTAACTTGTAGATATTAATAGTTTATGGAGATATACACAGTAGACTGATGTGAAGATACGAAACACCCTAAAGATATCAATTTAATGATCTAATTTTCGAACCCTTATCCCTTAGAGGAAAGTGAATACCTAGGTAGGTATTAGCTACAGACAAATACCAAATATTCTAAACTTTAATTTTATTGACCTTATTGTTAAATATTAGCTTACTGAACAAATGAATTTGATATTATATCTACATTTTATTCCAATTTTATTATTACATAAGTTATTAAACATTTATTTTGAATTACCATTAAATGTATATTTTTGCATTGTGGCGCCATCTAAGCTGCACAAATTACATCAAAAGTATATTATGGTAAATATTTTGTGCGTGGTAGCGCCATCTGAACTACACAACTCATATTAAAAACTAAGTTATCTGTATTAGTGTTTAGAAGTTTAAAATACTAATTTTCATTAATTTTATTACTATTAAAATTTTTTGCTATCTATCCTTGAGTCAAGTTATAGTGTTAATGAACCAGAAAAAAATAAATTTGTGTTTTAATTGCCTTAAACTATATGTAAAATCCCAGTTAAAAAATACCAAGCAATTTGGAATTTTAAAAATATTAATTTTAACTGTTATTAAACTCTTCAGAAAAAAAAATTAATCAATCACTCTTTATAACGTTCAGATAATGAAAATAAAACAAGTTGTCTTTACAAAATGTTTATTCATACTTGTTAGGACAACAATAATTCATAACATATCTTTTAACATTGTACTTATCCTGTAGAAGTAAATTAAATAAAAAAGTACATACATTTGTAAAATTTAAATAGATGCAACCAAAGTCAATTTTTCATTCAATTGCAATTGTGTTTTGATTAACTGAGAGAGTGATATAACCATTAGCAAATCCTTGATATTACTGTTAAACATTTCAGAAAATTGCTCGTTAGTCATATGAGGAACAGAATTAACCAAATCTAACAAAGAACGACCTACAGCATTATCAGGTTTAACTCGATTTGCTAAAACATCTTCTACATAAGCTAATACTTGGTCCAATAGCGATCCCATTTTCTGGCCAGCTTCACAAACCTGGGCTAAATCCATCATGGGTTGCACAGTTCTTGATCTTGCTGCAGCACCACTCATGGTCTTTGCACACAATTGCAAACCATAAACTTCAGGATCATAGCATGATATCTCAACTGGTATTGGTGTAAACATGCATCCTTGTTTACCATTTGGTACACCAAGCAGAACACATACGTAAGCTTTTATGCCCATTTTTCCGCTTTGAAGACCAGTGTCCACGGTGACATGAACTGGATTATTACATTCTCTAGAGTAATATTCGTGAATTACTGAGCTGTGATTAGTAACTTCATTTCCAGTAGCCCACCAACCAACAATATTTTCTGATGAATTGACACGCTTGTTTAATTCATACACATCATTGGCATATGTTAATTCGGCTTCTACTTGATCTGTATGTTCTTTGTGAGGTACACAAAAGCAATTAGTTACATCTACTACACCTTTGTCAACGCTCCCTGGAAAAGAATAGGTTATAAACACATGGCATCACACTTTAACTACTTCTTCAACAAAAGGCACCCGTATATCGTAATATTTACCTAAAAGGGTTCCAATAACTCGCTGGGAGTCTGCATTTCTACGTTCATAAGCATCTACAATTTGAAATAATACAACTGGATGCAACTTAACAGTGAGGTTAAGATAGTTCAACGCCATTTTCTTAAATAATGACAACTACGTCGATGCGCAAGCGTAAGTTTTCAATTGAAGGTAGCCAACATAACGAGAACAAAATCACAATAGAAATTTCAAAAACCGGCTTTCGTAACGAATTTGATTTAATTTTAATTAAATAAAATAACGTTTGATCCTTTTAAATGATGATATACTTTGATAAAATAAGACTAAGAAAACCAATGAAAATAAATAACATAATTAGAAATGAGTTTTAAAGGCAAAAATTTTTGAACACAGTATCCCACCACAAACGTATTGATGGTTTCTCTCATCAAAATGGTTTCGCGGCCCACCACTACTAAAACTGCCTGTCGGTATGCGTTGTCTGTGTATATCCGCAATGCAGGCGTGTCGATGAGATACCCGTTCGTAGTGAGTGTGGCTGGAAATTTTTTGGACAAAACCTAGTACAAATATTGCAGGTGTGTTAAAAATCCGCCAAAATAATGTCCGATTAAAGCGCCCCTCTCCCCCTCTTGTTCATGTCATGCATGATTGTTTATTGATATGACGATTATCGTCGCGAAAGCATCTTCAACAGAAATGATTACAGGCGAAAATAAATATGCGACATGCGAAGTTCTAACCGTTGCCATAAAAACAAGGCACCGCAGTAAGGTGACCTTCAATTAATATTTAGCTTTCTCGTTTCAATTTAGACGTTCCATTTAACGCAAACGAAAACATTACATTCGATTGCAAAGATGTAGTTTATTAAGGTACAATTGTTTTTTTTGTACTAATATTGGCGAAAGGTGTTATTGCAATTGCTTATTTTTACTTGCCAAGTAAGGGAATGATTGTTTTGCAGGCAATTATAAAATGGATACAGACAATTCTTCTGATAACAACTCGTCCACCGAAAGTTCAACTGACTCTTCAGACGATGACGAAAAGTTAGAGGCAGCTCAAGTGTGTGGAGTGAGAATTAAATTACCTCAAGGTTTATGTGAAAGAAAGGATATTTTTAATGAATTCTTTTCTGTGCATACTTGGAATTCGCTATCAGAAATAGAACGACAACATTTGAAAAGCTTCCTCCCCAGTTTCCCAGAGAATGATGAGGAAGAAAAGAATATTACCTTGCAGAGGTTGTTTAGGGGTGACCAGTTTCGTTTTGGAAGCAATCCTTTAGAACAGTTTCATGATAGTCTAAAGGCGGGCAGTTATAGACCAGATATTGCCAAAATGCGACTAACAATAAGAAAAGCTGAGAGAAAGGAGGAGAAATTTAGATATAGAAAATGCAGAGAACGTCTGAAGAATGATGTTATAACATCCAGACAAAAACTGCTTACGTTAGCTAGGAATTTACCACCTGGATTTGAACCTAAAGTACAAAACAACAACAACCCATCTTATGTTCAACCAGCTTCATATAGAACAAAAAAAAGGTAAGTTGTATTATATTTTGTTGTTGAAATATTTTGTTAAGATTATTTTTGTCTGTTAGGTATTTCCAAGAGCTTGCTTCAATTAGAGCACAAGTTGAAGAAAGTGGTTTTTCATCAGATGAGAATTACCCTGAAGGTCCATGCATACCCTTGCCTCGTAAACAGAGGCGACATTTAAACAACATAAAAAATTCAAATCCTTTAGGTAACGAGCAAATATTCATGTCCACTCTTTCAACAAAACCAACTGGTTTAGATTTAGAAAGACATATCAATCCGAACATAAATCCGTTCTTTTTGACGGAAGATTCGTACAAAACGATGATACGAAATCACGGAAAACGGCGACTGGAGTACAAAGATGACTTGGAATATGACACTAAAGGATTCTCCTTATCTGACATCATTGCACGTACAAAATTGCCTTATGTAAAGAAAATTAACCCCCCTATAAGCGCATCCACAAATTCCTCTGTAAAACATCACTTGGAAACGAAACTTGTGCAAAGAAAGAAAATTAAAAAAGATCCCCATCATCTTCCTACATTTTCAGAACTTATAACCAAAACCAATCCCTTCTTTGGCCACAGTTCCAATTCCGATTTGGACTCCGATTCAGATTCGTTTTTAGATTCATTTGTGAACTCTTCATCTGTTAAAAGTAAAGTGAAGAAACTTAACTCGCATAGAATTTCAATAAAAACGCCAAAAATGAACAGTGTTAAAACGGAATCAGTTATAACCAGCACCAGTCCTCCAACGGTCAGTGTACCAGAAACTAAAACATTAAACGACGACTTCAAAACTGTTAATTCGATAACGTCATTTGGTAAAATTACTCCTGCAACCCTTTCAGACTTAGACGGCATTGATATGATGAATTTGCCAATTGATTTGGAAGACTCCCATATAGACATCCTGGAGATCAATAATCGGCCTGAATTAATGCAAGAAACGCATGCAAATTTCTTGTCATTAATTCGCGATATAATTTGTTCAACAAATGAACACAGAATGAGTCTAAAATGTCTAGAAGAAAGACTGATATCTTGGCAAGAAAACCCCATAAGTCCCTTAAACGATTGGTATAGTTACATTGATAACTGGGTGGCAGCCTTGCCGTCTGCCATTAACTTTTTAAGTGGAAACTTTGAAGATATATTAGACGATTTTGTCCCGTATATCGAGTTTAAAATTCATTCAGAAATGTACCAATGGATTGGAGCAGGAAGAGACTCTGATAGCCTCCTAATGCCCTTATTTCAGTACTGGTTGGAACGACGAAACGAAATTAAATTGTCTTCAACGTTAAAAGACTACAAAGAAGAAAACGTTGAAATAAGCGACAGGTCGCAAACACCCCCACCACCTCGTTGTCCTACTACATGGACTGTTCGCAAAGCAGACCCAGAAGAAATACGACAATTTCAAGAACAAGAAAGGAAACGATACAATTCTCCACACAAAGCCTTCACGTACCGTTGTAACGGGTACGAAGGTATTGTGGGGCCTGTCAAAGGTGTTTATAGTAACCAAAATCTAGGAGTTACTAAAGCCAGGGGTCACAGTATGCTGACTGCAGACAGGCCTAACTTTGTGACCATCTTAACATTAGTAAGAGATGCTGCAGCTCGCTTACCTAATGGGGAGGGAACGAGGGCTGAAATATGTCAGTTACTTAAATCTTCCCAATATATACAAAATAATGTCCCAGAAAACGTACTCCAATCGGTCGTCAGTGGGGCTCTTGATCGGATGCACACTCAGTTTGATCCGTGTGTTAAGTACGATCCGAAACGGAAGGTGTGGATATACCTGCACCGAAACAGATCAGAACAAGACTTCGAGCGTATTCATCAACAAAGTCAAGGTATCAATAAAACTCCCAAGAAAGTCGTAACTAAAACTAAAACACCCAGTAAGGTAAAACCGAAGTTAGAAAAACCTACAACGAAGCCTTCAAGATCTACTCCTGAAATAATAGAAGAAGAAGTAATGACTGAAACGCCATCTAATGAATTGCAATTGAAATTAGCAACTACAGTGTCAGTACCTGAAAAGAAAACACCAGTCAATGTTCCACCAAAAGTTGTTCAGCCTAAACCAACCGGAACATCTATATTGATTTCAAAACAAGATAAGCAGGTCACACAAAAAGACTTAGAAGATGTTACAGCCCAAATAATGTTGTCACCGTCTCGAGCGTCTCCGTCAAAGCAAGTAGTAAGAACGGTTCAAGATCGCAAAGAAATTAATGAAACCATCCAAGCCTTAATACATCAGCGTGTTTCGAGTCCTGTGGCCAAACAGATAACTAATCCACGGACAGGGAAAAGTCTTGTGAAAATTATCTCACCAAACCCTGGAAAATCTCTTATTATCCCAACTTCAGGTAGCCCCCTCTTGAAACAATCCGACCAACAGAGACAAACACCTACAAAAGAAATCGTCTCCCAACAGCAACTTCTGCAGACACTGACAGTTACCAACCAGTCCCAGCAGCAGCAACAGAAATTAACTGAACCTAAAGTTAAGTTGTCTAACATACAAGGTGAAGTATTGCAAACATTCACGTCCCAACAGCTTCAGAACATCAAAAATATCACTGTGTTAAGAAATACGACTCAAAATCAACAACATTTCGCCAACGTGGAAATAGACACCGGGATGATTTCTCCAGGATCAGAAAGTACTCCCGTGATATCGATTTCGTCGTCCCCAGAATCAGATTCGCAAGAACAAACTCATAAATCTAGCCCAAAAGTGCAAACATTAACACTTGCACAGCAACACCAAATTTTGCAAACCTTGAAGCAGAAAGCGGTGCCTGTACAACAGACTGTTCTGTGCTCACCCAGGTCGGGTGGAGTTATTAGTAAACAACAGAGAGCTGTTGGACAAGTGATAAAGCAGGCAACCGCCGTCGGGACGTCATTATTGGCACAAAATAAATTGTCTGCAACAGGTGGGTGACCTGTTGGTTTATGTTTTACTTTTGACTTATGTAAAAATGATCAGAAGTCAGAATAAATTTTTAATTTTAGATAATATTCAAGGAAAGCCTGTGATCTCAACCACCCAAGCGCCTTTAGTTGCGAAAGTGTTAACAAACGCAGCGGGTCAAGTAATATCGGTTGAGAGCCTCCTAACTCAGAAACAACTGTCTCAAGGTACTATTTGGTGTTCTATTTATTTATCTGTTAATTAATTTGATTAATTTATATACAGGAGCAGCATTGCGGATAGCAAACCCGAAAGGTTGTCAGCCGAATATAATTCAATTAACAAGCGCCTCTGCTCAATCCCCTATGGCCCAATTCGCGGTCGCTTCCGCAAATAACGTTACCGCAGCATTCCCCAACCAGCTAAAACTCGTTATTTCAACCCCAATGGCGACAACAGCCACCTCCACTATTACCACGTCGAAAGCGGTCGCGAAAAGTAATACACGAACGCACACCACGACTCGTTTTTCTCCTAAAGTCACCCAACAGCTCGTCGGTACCACCAAAATCGCGAAAAGCATTCCCCAAATTAAAATTCCCGTGAATGCCAAAAACGTAGTAGTGAGCAAATCGGTGACAGTAAACGCGAGCTCGGTGAGGATGGTGTCCACGAATAGTCTTAATTTAGCTCAACTTAGCGGCAAACCGTTAATTCTAGCGAATAAAGGGGCCTCAGGACAGGCCATCCCCGTATCGAACGTTCTCATCCAGACGCAACCGAGCGGAAGTGGCAATGCAGCAACATTTATACTCTCGAATACGACTTCCAAGACGGCGTCAAACACAAGCGTGTCGGCATCCACATTAGGACAACAGGGAGGCGCTCAAGTGATCTTAAGTCCACAATTGAAAGTTCAGCAATCGCAACAGGTAGTTTTGGGTACTAGCGGTAAGACTACTGCGGTCGGTATTGGTCAAAATCAGACGGTCACGCAGAACCCGATCGTGCTCGGTCAAACGGTCAGGTTGCAGTCGAGTCCAACAAGTAATACACAACGATTGGTGTTAGCCAGCCAGAACCAAGGAGGGCAGATTGTTGCACAGCAGATATTACTTCCGGTTGGGTTTCAAGGGACTGCACTAAACATTAAAACTCTGCAAGGTGTTAAGGTTGTTCCATTGGCTCAAACAACACAAGGAAGGGGTAAGTTTGAAAAAAATCCGTTTTTGATGCGCTATGGAGTGAATTTTTTTTTTCTTATTAGCTGTGCAAGGTCGTCAAGTTCTTGCGAGGGTGGTAAATCCTGGAAGTTTATTTCAAGTAAATCAGCAACAAAGTACAACAGACATAACTAATAGTACTGCCGAATAAATTTATTATTACGTAGTGTAATAAATGTGTCTCTAGTGCCTCATTGTACATTTTCGCTACAGTTCCCGAAAGACGCACTTTCCCTCGTTTACACTAACAAATTTGTAAATAATAGATGTATTGATTAATTGATTGATTACTATAATTATGTTTGCTTATTTATGATTGTAAATGTACATTTAAAAAAGGTTGTTTTTCTTTTATAAAAAAAAGAAACAAGGATCGTTCGGATATTTAACGTCTTTTATTTTTTGAAACTTAAAAGGCATATATACAACTACAATTATTGTACATCGCACTTAAAAATACTATTATATAATTTTTTATAATCATGCATTGGTCTCTTATTACAAATTACTAATTCCGGATTTAATAACATAAAAAAATCTGATAAGTACACGAACAGTTAGGTATGCGAAGTTGTAAGATGCATTTGCGTCATTAAGACAATTACCAAGAAAGTATTTTACAATATACAACACTGCAAGGGCAAATAAAAATGTTAAAATGTGATTTGAAAATATTCACAATTGTCTTGATAACATTATTCAAAGCCTAATAAGTTAGGTTTTAATTAAATAACACATGGCAAGTTAGAAATAACATATTCCTTGTAATAAATAGATTTTTGTAATAGTAGCCTGCAAAAAGACAGTTCGTAATTGAAAAATGCACTTGTATTTCAAGTATTATAAATTATACTTTCTAAAATGAAAAGAATATGGAAAAAAGAACTTAAAAGCACTTAATTTTTTCCAAATAAATCAAATTTGCTTATTTTATAAGAAGATTATTTACTAAAACTCTAAATGTATTTTTTTCTGATGGGAAAATTGCAAAATCTTTCCATTATTATTTTAATTACTTAACCATTTACTTTGTACTTGGATTGTACTCTATAAGGGGGTCGTCATCGTCCAAAGTGTTCAAAATTTCGAGCAAACGTGTAATATCCGAAGGCGAGTCGATTGAGCTAGGTGCACCCACCAAAGTGACCACTTGCGAGTTAAAAGTGATCACATAAGTTATAGAAGATCGTGAAAATTTCACGCACCGTTCGTTAGGCAATTTATTAGCGAATGTGATTTCAGAAATTTGTTGATCACGCGTCACAAAAATTTTTATCTTCCAGTTGGGAGCTGGAAGTCGGATTAATTTCAATTGGTGCATCAGCTTCTCAAAACCAAGATTATTTTTCAATATTCTTTTACGACCCGGTCTTCCGGTTCTACAAACTAGCGTGTAAAAGCATCCGTCGTCAACGATAACGTTACCATTCACAGTATTAGACTTGGAGGCTTTTTCTTCTTCTAGTTCAGCCGTGTAATCGCCGTTGTCAAGTTGGTCCTTATTTTGTTTTTCTTCTTCAGTTTTAGGGGCGCCTGCAAGAAGCGTTTCCAAGTCTTCACTATCTGTATCATCTATTTTTGGTTTTTTTATCCCTTCCACCTCTGAAACTAACGAACTTTTTCTGGGTCGTTTTCCAGCATATGTACGTAATGGTGTACTTTGTCCATTGAACTTTTCAAATGTCGGTTTACTTTCCTCAGTTGTTTGGGGGAGTTCGCTATCACTTAATGGATCATTTTCATACCCCAAAGGATCTGCATCACTCTCTTTTTCATTTGACTCTGAACAAGGTGGTTCATCAATAGGTAAAAACGATTTTACTTCATCAAATGCCACTATTTCTTCAGTTTTGGTTGAAATATTAAGAGGGTCACACTTTTCAGTTTCAGAATCTGTACTCATACTTCTTGGCTTTTTTCGGTTTTTAATAGGTATGGCTATAAAATTCACAAATCTTTTATTGGGATTTCGAGAACGACTTCTTAAAAGAATACGTTGTGACTGAATAAAATTTCTTGTGTTCCTAAGTGACACTCTTTGACCGTTTTTTCTTTTTCTTTGTAATGATTTCGATTGTATCCTAGATTTTAATCTCTCAGACAACCCAAGTTGTTTCCTACCTCTCTTCAAATGTGATTGTTTCAACTGGACCGGTGGTTTTTTCTGCAGTAGCTTCTTTATTACTAGAAAACAGTAGACACTATAAGTGAAACAGCAAATGTTTCATGCCTATGTAAATGTTAAAAAAATACGAAAACTGTATCTCACTTACTCTTTTCCTCTATGGGTTTTACATGAACTCTCAAACACTGCCCATCAACTAAAGCTTCCTTATGTGTGATACCAGCTGCTGTATATTTACCAAACACTATGCGTACAATTACTTGCTTTGTTGTATTTCTGTTATTCACCAACAGAAATTGTATTGGTTTATCCTTGGCTGATCCTGAAGTAATTTCACCACTTTGACGAAGGCGTTTACGGAGTTGCGACTTTTGTCTGCTATTTTTATTGTTACTCTGTAAGTGGCACAAAATAATTAATAAGATATGTAATAAATGCTGTGTCGAGTTACCATTGATATTAGCTGAACCAACCAAAGCAATTTTTGAATAAAATTTACACAATAATCTATTAAAATAATGATGCATTTGTTTGTTATTGTAAAACTATGCTTGGATCTTGGAGGATAACTAATGTTTACAGATCTAAAACTACTAGCATAAATATGAGCACAATATTAAATCACTTTTCCTGTATAACAGAATTGTAACAAAAACAATTATCATTCGACTTTAATTAAAGTAAAGACAATACAATTGCTTTCACATTATTATTGATAGACTAACCTCCTCTAAACTCTAAAAAGAGATCCACGAACCTAAAAATCATCATGACGAAAAGAGATGGAGAGCACGCGTAGCACAATCCTTCAACAATCTAAAATAATAAGGTTATAATACAGCCATAGATAAAGTTAAAGCTATATTTCTATAGTTGGAGGTAGTGTGGCGGGAATTTCGATTTAAATTAAAAAAAAAAAATAGTGAGAATTCAGTTCGCATGCCGTTGCTGTCACGACAAATCATGGTCTCAAAAAGTAACATAATTTAAATCTGGAAAATAATTTATTTTTGCACCTTCCTTAAATGTTTAACCATATACATTACATAGTAACTAAATACTTCAGATATGCTTATTTATTATTAATAAAAACCAAATATACATACAAAATTAACACTGAATGGTAAAATTATCCAAAGGAACAAGTTTTTGTTGATTATGACATTCCCAAATCCAATTATAGTCTATAATTTTTGCTTCTGGACAAGCCTCATTTAAACTAAAACTATCCTTGTTCCTGTCTGCTAATATAATATCAACAATATCACTGAGATCCTCCACTAAAACCCTGAAAGATTCGAAAATTAAAACTAATACATAATATATGCAACAGTTATTTTTCAATTACAAACCCTTTATAGGCATGAATATATTTCTCAATTTGTTTGATATCGTCCTTCGGTAAATCTTTATCAATGTAGAGAACATGATGTTCGAAAAATTTTGGAAGTTCATGATTAACTTTTTCAACTTTACGTAACATTACGTCTTCTTCATCTTCTGTGTCGACAGAAAAAGGGTCTACTTCCGCTGGTTTTACCTCCTCAGAAGTATTTTCTTCTCTTTTCTCATTTTGTTTCAGTCGTTGGGCTTGAATTCGTTCAATTTCATCTTCTGTATCACTACCTTCGCCAGTGCGCCTTTAATATTTTTTTATTTGTTAAAAGTTTTTCATTTTCATCTACACTTACCTTACATTTCTCCATTTGAAAGTTCTGAATCCCCTTCAAATCCTCCAAGTTCTTTCTGTTCCCATATTTCTTCTTCACTTTCACTCTCATTTGTGTCTTTCTTATCCAAGGCGTATCGTCTCCAAGGGAAACGTTTTCTTTCACGATGACAGTCATAAATCCAATTTTTCGTCACTATTTTTCCTTTTCCTCTCACTTGATTAAATTTGGGTGTGTTTGGAAACGCACAACTGGATAAAAAAGTATTTATAATAACTTTCTAAATATATGTGAAGTTAAAGACAGTGGATTGAAATTTTTTATTAGAATAGGTGCAATTGTAATATTATATATAAAAGAAATTATGAGTGCTGTCAGCACAAGGCAAAGTAGTATTACGTAAATGAAAGTTAGTATCAGCAATTAATTATGTTGAAGTGTACGATGTACGATGTGTTCCTTACCTATTTACAAACAATTCCATTGATTACTATACATTGAAAACCATAATGGCCGACATAAGTAACAATGCGACAACAATTGAAAAAGAATGATGGCCGACAACTGCAACAATTAGAAAATAATGATGGCCGACACTACGTCATAGTGGAGCAATAAAAA